AATGTCAAACTAATGCAACTTTTTTAAATGGGCAAATTATTTGAACAGGGACTTCACAAGAGATGAAATAAAAATGGTAAATAAGCCCATGAGAAAAAAAAATTTACCTCATGAAAATACAAATTAAGCAACGATGAAGTTTAATATCAGTTTAACAATACGCACATATATGTATAAAAATAACTGAAATACTCAGATTTTCAAAAGTTTTAAAGTCTGACAATACCAAATGTGGAACATACTTCGTTGTTGCTGGTGAAAGCACTAATTGGTACAATTGCTTTAGAAAAGTTAGCTATTACCTAGTAAAGATGAAGATACACACACACTAGGAACAAATAATTCCACTCCTAGATGTATTCTCAAGAGATCATACACATGTACAATAGGACACATATACAAGAGTGTTCATAATGGATTTGTTCATATTAATAAAGAACATGAAACAATCCCAAAACTATTATAGTAGAAGAGACATATACCTGTGGTATACTCATATGATGGACTACTATACAGTAACAAAATCAAACTACAGCCATATGTATCAACATGGATGATTCAGCAAAACAAAATCACAAAAGAAGACATGTAATATGCAATTTATTAAATAGAACTTAACACTCCATTAAATTTTACTTATTAGTTTACTTTTTGCCTGATTAAAAAAGAAATATTTTTTCAGTAATACAGACATCAGTACTATTCAAAGTGTGGTCTATAGACCATATCAAACTGTTACAGGCTGATGCTGAGATAAGCAAATCAAGTGAGTTTGACATTGACAAAACATTCAAGTATTTGATTTTGTATTTATAAAAGTATCTGTGACATATGGAAATTATTTTAAAAAGTAGTTCGAGAACTATTATACATAACGGGTGAAAACATAAAGAAAAATAAAATTATTTTCATTACAAGCAGAACATTGGTTATTTCTAGTGGAGAAATCCAGGGATGTGGTCAGAAAAAGATACAAAGGAACCTTCTAAGATGCTGGCAATGTTGTATTTCTTTAAAAAAAAAAAAAAGTATTTGATTTTTAGAGAGGGAGAGGGTAACATCAATGTGAGAGTGATACATGGATCTCCTGCATGCCCCCTATTGGGGACCAAGCCTGCAACCCAGGCATTTGCCCTGACCTGGAATCAAACCTTAACCTCCTGGTTCATAGATCAACGCTCAACCACTGAGCCATACCGGCGGGGCTGAAACATTACTTCTTAAGTTCTTGTGCTGCCTTTTCTTTTTAAGGTAGTAGTAATCACTAGCAAATAGCAGCACTAAAAACAGATTATGCTAAACCAGTGTTACTTCTGGTATAATCTCGATTTCAGCAAGGAATGGGATAATTTCTAATGGTGATATCTTGTGGATAAAATCAAGACATGCAGACTGAAAATTGCACATTTGATAGTTTAGGGATAACATCCTGTATATTCCTCCAGAATTTGGAAACAACTGAGGTGGAGAGGTTAAGAGATCATCACCTTTATTATTAACAAAGTTAAAGAACATGTTTTCCCCACCTGTAGCAATGTGGACAGGCTAATAGTCCCTATCCCTGAATTAGAGTTTACTCCACTCAATTGCTGACCTAGCTAGACCACAGACCTCCCCTGTGGGTAGACAAAGTTAAACTTTGTGGGATATGCCTTAGCCCCTTCAAGGCCATTTCTGCTTCATTCCTTATAAAACATTAGTTGCTCATATAGCTGTCCTGCCTCCCTCAACTAAATTATATTCCTGGAGGTCAGACTATCTTATTCATTTTTGAAACTTTTAACAGACTATTATATACATGATAGATGTTCAAACACTTTCATATGTGTGTTATATACTACTTAAGAACCATATGAGTAGAGACCAAAGTAAGAACTTTAGAAACAAAAGAACAAGAAACCAGAATTGGACCAATGATAAAAATATAGCTACTGTTGAGTGCTTGTATATGATAGGCACTGTTCCTAATCCTATATAATAAAAGGCTAATATGCAAATTGACTGAACTGCAGAACGACTGGTCACAACCGGTCACTATGACGCGCACTGACCACCAGGGGGCAGACGCTCAACACAGGAGCTGCCCCCTGGTGGTCAGTGCACTCCCACAGGGGGCGCTCCACTCAGCTAGAAGCTGGGCTCACGGCTGGCAAGCACAGCAGCAGTGGCGGGAGCCTCTCCTTCCTCTGTGGCAGCACAAAGGATGTCTGACTGATGGCTTAAGACATCCCCCAAGGGCTCCTGGACTGCGAGAGGCGCAGGCTGGGCTGAGGGACCCTTGCCCCCCGAGTGCACGAATTTCATGCACTGGGCCTCTAGTATTTAATAAACATCTCATTATATTATCATTATAGTAGATATCACCTTAGTAATAGATGAAGAAACATACTAATAAAATCAGTTGTGTGAAGTCATGCAGCCATGATTTGAACTTGATGTTAAAGGACTAAACTGATATTGAGCTACCCTGAAATCAAGATAGGTAAGCCTTCATAAATCTATCCTTTAATTGGTGTTTGTAAGGCAGTACTGCATGGTGGATAAGAAAAAGGGCTCTGGAGCCAGATTGCAATGTTTGTATTCAGATTCTACTAATTACTGTGACATGGGGCAGGTTTCCTAACCTCTTTGTGCCCGTTTTCTCATCTGTAAAATGGGAATTTGTTGGTTCATAGAATTATTGCAAAGATGAAATGTATCAATACAAGTAAAATATTTAGCACACCTGGCACAAAGTAAGCATTTAATAAATGTTAATCTCTATTTACTGTTATTTTTTATAGGATTGTGCCCAGAACCCAGAAAGTCCCCTATGACTACATTATAAAGGGAAAGAAAAAACTTGAGGCAACTTGGCATTATACCAGTGATGGCGAACCCATGACACGCGTACTCATTTTTTTGGTTGATTTTTCTGTGTTAAATGGCATTTAAATATATAAAATAAATATCAAAAATATAAATCTTTGTTTTACTATGGTTGCAAATATCAAAAAATTTCTATATGTGACATGGCACCAGAGTTAAGTTAGGGTTTTTCAAAATGCTGACACGCCGAGCTCAAAAGGTTCGCCATCACTGCATTATACAGTCTAGGTTAATTTACTTAACAACTAAGAGCTTTTTAGGAAACTGTAGGCTAAAGTGCCTTTCACCCAAACTTTCAGTAAGAAATGCAAAGGGCCCTAGCCGGTTTGGCTCAGTGGTTAAGAGTGTCGCCCCTCGGGCTGAAAGGTTCTGGTCAAGGGCACAGGCATGTACCTCAGTTGCAGGCTCGAACCCTAGCTGCAGGTCAGGGCACATGTGGGAGGCAACCAGTAAAATGTGTCTTTCTCACATAGATGTTTCTCTCTGTCTCTCCCCCTCCCTTCCACTCTATCTAAAAATCAATGGAAAAAATATTCTTGGATGAGGATTAACAAAAAGAAATGCAAAAAAGTAAAAATGAGGCAATTTAGAGGTGGTACAGGTTTCCTGTGCTATCTGAAAGCTGAGTGTTCCTATGAAACCTTTCCTACGCAGAAATGGGGTAAAGAAAATAAGCCATTACCATTTATGTGGAAAAAATTTTAAGCATTCCCAGACCCAAAAAATAACGTACTAAATAACACATAAAACCTAAAATAACATGAACATATAATGAAAGCAGTGCCACTCATGCTGCTCAGGGTGCATGCTGCCTCTATAATGGCTCCCTGCAAAATAGCTGCTGAATGCTATTTTCACCATCCTATATAATAAAAGGCAAATCGACCGAACGGCGGAACAACCAGTTGCTATGGTGCACACTGACCACCAGGGGGCAGATGCTCAACGCAGGAGCTGCCCCCAGGTGATCAGTGCAGTCCCACAGGGGAGCACTGCTCAGCCAGAAGTCGGGCTCACAGCTGGCTAGTGCAGCGGCAGTGGTGGGAGACTCTCCTGCCTTTGTGGCAGCACTAAGGATGTCCGACAGTTTAGGCCCGCCCCCCAAGGAGCCGTCAGTCAGACATCCCCCGAGGGTTCCCAGACTGCAAGAGGGTGCAGGCCAGATTGAGGGACACCCCTGAGCACACAAATTTTGTGCACTGGGCCTCTAGTTTCTCATAAAAGGACAATCCTCTTTGGATTTCTTCGTTAGTGAAAACAAGAACATATAATGTAAAACTTTTAGTTAAAGGGAAGTGGTATATTGTGAACTTTCTCTTCATTTACTTTTTCTTGGCCGGTCCAAGATGTTTTGATGAAATACCAAATAAATAATCACTCTGTGGCTACAAAAATGTACTCCAAGCTGCAAGTTCATAAGGAGCTTAAATCCTGACAGAAACAAGTCAATTTGTTGATTTTTTTTAAAAATATATTTTATTTGTGGCTACAAAAATGTACTCCAAGCTGCAAGTTCATAAGGAGCTTAAATCCTGACAGAAACAAGTCAATTTGTTGATTTTTTTTTAAAATTCTACACGTACTGATTGGTGCAACCCTACAGAACCAACACCTGTTTAGAAAAATTTGTTTTTCTTTTCAAAAGTAACTAAAAAGCCTGATTTATTTATATATTAATTTAATTTTTGAAATCAATAGTCATAAGGTCAGCTTTGTCCTATTTAACTATCAGTGTTACACATTTATAAACTAAGGAAATATGGATAGTACAGAGATTTGAATGAAATCTAAAAGAATAAAATTGATTTTAGCCCATTGTATTTTCAAAGTTGATGAGCATCAAGCCAGAAGAAAAGTAATGACCACACACCGTTTATTTCTTTTAATAGTAAAAAGAATGTTCTGATTATTAGCAAAGTAATCTTATAATGTATCTTCACAGTTGAAATTTAAGTATTCACTTGATACACTTGTATATCAAAGTCCTTTTCCACTATTTAGTCTATTTTAAAAATATATACAGCTAATGATGTTTAAATATTCTGAACCATGTGTTCAAATATAAATATTTGAGAAATTCAAACTGTTGCATCAAGTTATGAAAGAATTAAAGAAGAAAAATGAGCTACAAATTATATAGGAGGAAGAAAAAAGTTTACTTAACACTTATGTCTGGCTAAATCTGTAGTCTTCCATTTATATATACATACTCAGTTGAGTATAGGTAGCCATCAAACATTAACCAGTTACATACAGATTAGACTAAGCCTGTACTATTTTCTACGACAGGCAGCAGTGGTGATTTCAAACATATTAATATATCTAAATAGTTTCATCAAAAGTTATTTGTAGCAATAGTCTAATATTATGAAATTCTGATAGGCACAGATGAAATCACTACATTATCTATGCCAAACTCAGCACACTAATGGTACCTGACTCTGCTTATGGTCTAAGTATCTGAACAAAAAAGAGCAGACAGGTAACCAGAAAGGACATTTAAGACACACCCATGCTTATGAATCACATTAACATTAGTGTTTAAAATTTCCAAATCTCAATATAGAGGGACACTTATAAAGCTGTGGGACAACTCCCACATAAGAATCCAAGTGATAAAACTGCAAAATCTTAAACTTCAGTTTTTAATCTGATATTAAGGATTAGCTTATTTGGTCTTAAAAAATTTTAGAATTAAAGGGTTAAAGTTGAAAACATGTTTATCCCTTGCTACATTGCAGCATTTGAAATTAGCCAGCATGACAACTTTAATTCCTTTTTGCTCTTACATGCAGTAATATACGTATATACGCATTTTAAGACAGCTTAAAGTTGAGTTAACTTTTAGTCAGTAGTGGTGACTAGAATTGCTATCCAATCAGTATTCCATGGCACCACATATCAAAGTCTGTACAATATGAGTCTTTTTCAGCACTTATCACTTTGGGTGGGGAAGGGAGGCATGGCAAAAAGTAGTTGCATATATTTTTTTTTATAGCAGAAAAGCTTTAAACACTTACACAATTTTACAATATCTTGTATTCTATCTTAGAACAAAATCTTATTCCAGTCAGCTCAATCTATGTTATAAAATACAAACACATTCTAAACCATACAGTGTACAGAATATGCACTATTTAATATTCATTAAATGCAGTACAATCAAATAAAAAACACACACAGCATTCTAAATTTTTAAATCTTTGGATGCTAACCAGAAATTATACAAATTACATATGCAAGACAAAAAAAGAATAGAAAAGGAAAAGAGAAAGAAAAAAAAATCCAAAGAAACTAACTTCTCAGTGCATCACACCTATTGGGATTAAATGAATGGCACTTTTATGATACTAATATTACAATTATCAATTTAAGCTGGGAATGACTCAAAAACATTAAAGCCACATAATGGCAAGAACAAGCCAATTAAATGTTTAAATGAAACAGATCACCTTTTTTCTTTGTAAAAGCACCGAAAATGTAATGGGTGCAGATAACTCAATAAAATTTTTCGTATTTCATTTGCCCCTACACTATAAGACATTGCAGTACCTTAAATTATTCTGTATTTATTCTCACTGGTATGAAAATCTGATTTTTAAGGCCTGAAAACTCTATTATGCTACTGAAACATACTATTTTCTATGTGGTAAGAATGTCTTTATGAAAAAAATAATATATCTGGTTATAAGTCATAGAATAAACCCCAAAACCAAAAATCTGACATTTTCCAAGCTAGTGAAAAATAAGTTATACCATGATGTATCAATTAAAAATTATATCAATATTAACAAACATTTCTACGGTAGATATTTCCCCCATGAAAATTAAACAGTGCACAATAGGGCTTGGGCTATAGTGAGTCACATTTGGTTTTCTGAAAAACAAAACGTAATTTACTATAAACAATTAAAAGGCAATTTTCTTCCTCCATAACACATGTAGATATTAAATCGAAGGTCTTAAAAATATTCACTACCTATAAGAAAAGTAGTTTTAAAATGGCAAAAAGGAATCAAAATACCAAAGTTTAGTGTGCGAAGAATAGATATAAACAACCAAGAAAAGAGATCACTGGTGTATTGGTGTTGAATATTTAACACGAATAGCCCAAAATAAGTTCCAAAGTTTTTATACCTTTACAAATAAAAAAAGGTGTCCTTTCCATAGTTTGGGATATGCATTGTGTATTCCCCCAAACAAGTATATGAGTAATGTTTTTAAAATGTTGCCAATATTAAGTTCTTCAGTTACCTAAAATTAATTAGAGGACAGCAATATTACAGTGGCAATGGTGCATCAATTCCCAAAACGTAGTTATGATCCAACACGAGTTGTGGTGGTTCTTTTATCAGAGAAAAAGCTTTTCAGAAGAAATACCTGCCCTATGCTAACCACCAGAAGAATGAGGGCTTCTCCTACTGACCAATAGGCCACTCTTGTATTTAAATCCTCTGCTCGGCTTCGGCCTTGAGCTTCTCTCAAGCGGAAATGAGTCTGATAGTCAATGACAGACTTCAGAGCTTCATGAATCGAAACACAGGCAGATTCCATCTAAAGAGAAATATTTCCAGTTAGTATGTTTAATATTTTCTGTACACTCCATCTTTCATTTTTAATTTCTCATTTCATTAACATTCACACATTTATGTCCGAGGTCCTGGCAATGCAACCATTTACTCATTCCCACTAGTACAACTGGTAAAGTTACAGATCCCATAAAGCAGCTGCTTGCCTCAAACTAAAATGTCACAGCTGTGGCATCTGTAAGGATAGAACACTAAGCTAACAGCAGCAGAAGTACTAATCAGCTAAGGTTTGTGGCTATGAAATTTCAAACCCAGATTCCTCAAAAAGGAAAGCTTAGGAAGAAGAAATTGGGTAGATCAGCAAATACGACCAATCCTATATAATAAAAGGGTAATATGCAAATCGACCAAATGGCGGAAAGACCAATTGCTATGACGCACACTGACAACCAGGGAGCAGACACTCAACACAGGAGCTGCTCCCAAGTCCGCAGGTCCCGGCAGGCAGGCTCCAATTGCCCATGGGGAACGGGGAACTGGGGGTGGGTGGCAAGAGAGGTGGGCGGCATCAGGCCAAAGCCCC